TGCGTTTCACAATCTATTTCATTTCCTCTTTTCGTGGTCTCACGACGATCCATTTGATCCATTCATTCTTAGACTTCGTGGCTCCCAAGATAATAATTTACCTGCCAAAATTTTCACGGAGCCGAAGGTGATACCCGACTGCGCGGAAACGCTGAATTTGAATTTGCAAGGTCATACGTGGGCAGGGGGTCACTGTCCAAAAATTTCAGTTTTCCAGACCCTGCATAATAGTTTTACCCACCAAAACTTTTACGGAGCCGTATGTGTTATCCGCGAACAAGGGAGGGCTGAATTTAAATTTTCTGTACCGCATGTGGACTAGGGACATAACCGCAAAATTTCAGCCTTCCACCTTCCGCAGTTCCCATGATAACAATTTTACCGCTAAAACTTTTACGGGACCATACTTGTCCGCGATACGGGGTGGGTGAATTTAAATTTGCAGGGTAACGCGTGGGTGGGGAACATTGCCTTAAATTTTCAGCACCCTAGCCTTTGTGTTTCCCGAGTTGAAAACTGCGGACATGTTGTCGCGCACATACACACAGACAACCCCGTGACAATATGCATTTTGTACTACTGTTGCACAGCCCAAAACACATAAAAAGTAGAACCCAGACTGGAATGCACCAAACTAGCCGGTGCGATCTTGCGTCTTTGCACTAGACTCGCAGATTTGCTAACAGCATGAATGATTCCTGTGCTGTAGGCTAACACTTGTGGCCGCGCTCTGGCCGCTTCCGGCATGCAGGAGAAAGGGCGTCGGTTGGGATGAAAGTGTTGCAAGTAATGCATGGACCTTCAGGTACATAATTACCAGTTTCCTGCATGAGGCCAGGTGGTTTTTCGGTAAATGCTCGCTTTAAAAATATGCAAAATTCCAACTCACCAAAACTTGGAAATGTTGCTACAGCAGTCATTCGTCAAAAAATCCAAGTATGCAAATGAACTGTATGTTCATTCACATATGTGGATGAGGGCGGTCGTTCGCTGCAAAAAGCACTCGTCTCTGATTTTTTAGCAGAATATTTCTCGTAATCACCTGCAGGGAATTTCACTTCCAAGCAAAATTAATATCGCACTTGAAAGTAGAATATCTCAGCAAATTTTCAGCCTTGTACCTTACCTAGTAAGCGAAATAGCACTTCACTGCAAATGTCTTTGAAGTGCCCTAAATCGTGGCGCAAGTGCAAATCAGAACTCAATTTAGATATACCATTTCCAATATGGGCGATAAACATGCTGACAAAATTTCAGCTACTGTTTTCCGGCAAGTTTTCGAGTTAGCATAGTACCAAGTTGCAAACTTTGACGTGATCGTACGCGCTGCACAAGCGTGCATGAAAGCTGAATTTGAAATCTTTAGCCCGCACATGCACAGAGAATATCTCTGCAAAGTTTCAA